TACTATCTTACATTCCCACCAGCAGTGTATGAGGGTTCCTTTTTCCCTCTGCATTCTTGCCAACATTTCTTGGTGGTGGTGTTTTTGATGATAGCTATTCTAACAGGAGTGAAGTGGAATCTTAGTGTGGTTTTGATTTGCAGTTCCTTTATGGCCAGGGATGGTGAGCATTTTTTCATGTGTTTTGTGGCCATTTGGATTTCTTTCTTTGAAAAAGTTCTGTATAGTTCAGTTGCCCAGTTCTTTATTGGTTCATTGATTTGGTGATAGTTTAGTTTTTTGAGCTTCCTACATATTCTGGTTATCAGACCTTTGTCTGATGTATAGCCAGCAAATATTTCTTCCACTCTGTGGGTGGACTCTTCAGTTTAGAGACCATTTCTTTTGTTGTGCAGAAGCTTTTTAATTTCATGTAGTCCCATTTGTCCATCCTTTCTGTTAGTTGCTGGGCTGCTGGAGTTCTATTGAGGAAGTCCTTGCCTATACCTTTTGCTCCCAGAGTATTCCCTACTCCTTCCTGTACTAAATTCAGAGTTTTGGATCTGATATTAAGGTCCTTAACCTACTTTGAGTTGATACTAGTACAGGGTGATAGACATGGATCTAGTTTCACAAAGGAGTAGTGGAGTTGAATGGAAAAAAGTAAAAAAGGAAATTATGGTTTTGACTTAGTGACCATCTCTCTGCAGAAAAATAGGATGATTCTGGAATCCATGTACACATGATTCTGTCCTTTTTAAATGCCCATAAGCTCTCTCTTCCCACCCCTCATTAGAATAATATAAGTAGTTCTTCAGAGGCATCTAAGAACTCACACCGCATTCAAGTAGCAGGGAATATGTCAAGGACATTAAATACTTGACTCAATTTACCCTAATTACTCAATCTTCCTTTATGTATCTCAAGTGGTAACATTGGGACTCTTGCTACTAAGCAGAATAACTCAAAGTTTTTATTTGTTATACACACCCATTATTGTCTACCCTCAAATTCTGCTCAGGGCCAGATTCTTACATCTTGCACCATATATTTACCTCATGCCCCTTCTAGGATTGTCTGACTCAACAAAGGAATATGTTCTTCAACATAAAGATGTCAAAATATCTTTCTTCCCTTGCAGGAAGAAAGGGAACTAGGCTCCCACTAGTTCCCACTAATTAACCCACTGAACTAGGCTCCACTGTGGACCTTGAAAAGGCCTTGTTCATCAGCTTCAGTGTCTCTCAGTTGTATTCTAAAAACAGGCTGAAAATTTGTTGGGAGGCACACACATGTGTGACATAAGAGATAGAACTGAAGTCCTTACTTTCATCTCATCAGCAGACCCTGAAGCAGCCCTGTGACTCAGTGCTAGCAACTCTTAAACACACAATCCTACAGTACTGCCTGCCTAAAGACTCACCAAGTGGTTCGGTAGGAGCATTCCCAGGGACCTAGAGGAAGCCATGCCTATCATTTGAGGTGGTAACAGACCCACCATGCACAGACCTTGAAGTGGATCTGCATCCCAGCAGCAGCCCTATAGACCAAGATACTGGAGATTGTTTAGTCATTCAGAGACCAGAGAGGATTTACATTCACTTGAGCTCCTGGTAACAGACCCTTCAACATGGACCTTAACATGGACCCAGAAATTATTACTGAAACATTTGCAAAGCCATATGGAATAAAACTTAGCCATAACATCATACCACATAAGAAAAATTAAATCAAAATGTATCATAAGCAGAAATACAAACAATAAAACATCAGGAGATAAATGTAAGAGAAAATATTTCCTTTTAGGAATAGGTTTTTAAAAAAGTTGTAGGCCAAACACAAGACCACAAACCATGAGTTACAAAAAGAAAAACATATTTAGTTACTGTAGATTTATGATAAGGTTTAAAATGTTGTATTGCAAATAATCAAACTTTGTCCTTATTTTCTTAAACTGTTTTCCTTTCTCTAGTTAAATTTTAGACTTAGATTAGATATCTGTTCAGATCATTCCACCATAATATTTATCATAAATTCAATGAATATATAGTTCAATATTTTGAAACTTTGAATTTTAATATTTTTTCTTTCTCCTTGTTTATTGAGTTTCTAATGGTAAATCTATAAATCTTTCTTAGAATAACCCCAAACATATATGGATATATTATGCCATTCATAAATTGCTGATTAACTTTGCTACTATTCTGAAAATATTTTTCATCTACTTTCATAAAAAAAAAAAAACTTGAGCTATATGCTTGGCATGTAACTACTGGGTAGGGCACTTACTCAGCCTGTGTGAGGCTTTGGATTTGATCCTCAGCATGGCATACACACAAAAATTTTGTCTATAATTCCATTTTTTTATCCTTCCCAGATGTTATTACAGTTGAAGTTTCCACTCTTTGGTCTCAGTGAGTTTGTATAATAATGGAATTATTACTTCATTGGTTCCATTGAGAGTCACTGGCTTCTAAGTTAGGATGCTTCTCAACTCATGTTGTCATTTGCATTCCTGCCTAAAAACACATGAGGCTTATGCTTTCCAAGGAGAAATGGAGAAATGCCTGCTGTAACTCTGCTGGAATAGTGAATATTTCAGTTATGAAATTCTGCTTGACTGTTCTGCATATATATATATATATATATATATATATATATATATCATTATTTTTCATTTTTTGAGATTATATACATTTCAAATAATCTTTTACCATTTTAATCAAAGGATATCATGGTCTATGTTGGTTAATTCCTGTATCATAAATCTTATTGAGTTTGGCTCTGTTGTTTATTTTTCCACTTGCTCTCAAGTTTTGTGTCTCATTTCCTTTTAACTGGTAATTATTTTTCTCTGTGTTTGATTGGAATCCGTAAGTTTTGTTATTTATTTGCTTATTCAATTCACCTTAAGATACCACTTTTTCTTCAATACCTACAGGCAAGTTCAAGGTTTGAGATTTCCTAGACCTATGTGGCTGCAAATCTATGTATGGATTAGTGACTTCCAGTTTCCCTTCATTCTGAGAATACATGGGAGGACACCTGAGAGGATATAAATGAGAATATAAATGTGATATAAATGGGACATGCCCTAGTTTTTCTACTTTTTCCCTGTTATACCAAAAAAACACTAAATTCACAGCCCAGGTTAGTAAGCCTTTCTCCTGACTTGTCAAATTTTGTTATTGCAAAAGAATTTTTAGTGCTAGTCGACTTCATTGGGTTCTTATACTTTGGGGCAATGAATTACTTATTATCCTATAAGTGTTAATTGGGTAAGTAAGGTGTACTTAACATTTTATCATCTATTTCAGTTGTGTTGATAATGGAATGTATAAAAATTACTGACCTTGCCATTGTTGGAACAGAAGCCTCAAAGGTAAATTGCATGTACATTATTGGAACATTAGATTCAGAAGTATACACAGGTAGTGCCATATTCAACATGAATTGTCTGCACATGATGCAGTCCACTGAGACCAGCACTGACCACTCCCTGCACCTGGCACATCAACCTTCCACATTTGGCTCTATGTTTTTTTTTTCTTTCTCTTTAGTATTTACTCCCCTCTCATAAACTGTATTATTTACTTTTAAGTTTTATTTTTCTTACACTAAAACATATATTACAACTTTGACTGTCAGTTATAACTCCAATAACCTAGACCAAGACCTGGAATGTAAAAATCACTCATTAAAGTTTTTGAATGTATGAAGAATAAGTTATTGAATTAAGAAGATTAATGCCATGTGCCATATACACAAAAAGATGGGATTTGTTTCTAAAAAACTAGGGAGAGAAAAGGAAAGAAAAATAAATGTGATGGTTGTCAGCATGCAAAGGTGTACTAAATCTCTCCAGAAGATAGTTCCAGTTTCAAGGGAGAGACAGCCATGTCTGCTCCAACATCCTGAGCAGAATGTGGATCTAAGCATGAAGTCAATCTAAAAGTTTGTTCTTCATAGGCTCATCATTGTCACACTACAAGTTGGCCTGCCTTCTTTGAAACTAGTGTTTATGTTTCACTCAGTTCTTAGAAACTCAGGAAACCCCTGCTCGATCCACCAAAGGAACTCACTTGTTGAGGCCCAACAGAGAGCTTCACATATTAATCAAGGATGATGCCTTCTTCCTTAGGAACCCTAAAAGTAGACAGAGCCAGAAACCAGGAACAAAGACCAGAAGTTCATGGGTCCATATAACCCATTCCCCACAAATAACCTTCTACAAGAAGAACATTTCCAGGAATTTTTCTCTTTGATTGCACTTTGACATTTCCCATACAGTGTGCTCAGTCATAACTAGAATTACCAGGCTTATCTCAGGATAAGCTGATGTTGAGATCACACAATTTAAAGGATTGAACGTGGGTCAGCTTTTTGCTACTGTAATAATCTTACTGCTACTGAGATAATCAACTTATTAAAACAAAAGTTTTATTTTGGCACACTCTTTCTGGGTGTTTCAGTTCTTGATGAGATGGCTCCATTGCTCTTTGTCTGTGATGACACATCACAAGAACACATGGTAGAGCAAAACTACTCACCTCATGCTCAGTAGGCAAAAGAGATGAAGAAGAAGGAACTGGGATTCCAATATTCCCTTTGGTGACATGCCCCCAATAAACTAATGAACTCCCCACTAGGCTGCAGCTCTCAATGCTTCTACCACATTGCAGCACCACCATGCCAAGGACCAAGACTTTAATAAATACAAGGATCTTTAGAATCCCTTAAGATTCAAACTATAATAAAGTATAATTACCTGAGAGTATGGCATAGAACAACTTTTTAAAAATATGAATACAACTTTAAAAGGATTTTTAGCAAATGTCATTTTATGTAAAATTATTTATTTATAAATTTAAATTAGTTTTATTAAAGGTAGCTCACTGTAGGTCTCTTATTTACTATGTCATCTAAAAACTGAGCCTCATGTTTACTGAAAACCATCACACTAGCAAATGATACTTCAATGGATATATATGAAAACAGATATTCAGATTTCTTAGACCTTACTAAGAAAATATTTTCCTACAAAGCTTTCTCTTCAAAGCCTCCTTAATCTCATTATTCCTGAGACTATAGACCATGGGGTTCAACATGGGGATTACCACCATGTAGAACACAGATATCACCTTGTTCTGGTCAGTGGAATAGCTGGACTTTGGCAACACATAAATGAAGGTAATGGTCCCATAGTACAGAGTGACTGCAATGAGGTGGGAGGTGCAGGTGGAGAAGGCCTTGTGGCGGCCCTCAGTGGAGCATATCTTCAGGATGGTGATGAGGATATAGATGTAGGAGACAGAGATAACAATCACTGTGAACCCAATGATAGAGCCAGCAGAAAATGAGGGAACAATTGCAGAGACACTGATATCAGAACAGGAGAGTTCAACTAAAGGAGAAAAATCACAGAAAAAGTGATTGACTCTATTTGATCCACAGAAGAGTAAAGAAAAGAAGGATAAGCTAAAGGAGGTATCATTAAGAAAACCACCTATGTAAGTTACTACAAGTAACAGGACACAGACTTGTGTGGACATTTTGGTTGAATACAGCAGTGGATTGCAGATGGCCACAAAGCGATCATATGCCATGACAGCCAGCAGGAAGCATTCAACTGTCCCAAAGAAAATGGCTGTACCAAGCTGAATGGCACATCCAAAGTAGGAGATTGTGTTTCTCTCCACCAGGAAATTAACAAGCATATAAGGTGTGACAGAAGATGAAAAGATGATATCAGCAAAAGCCAAATTGCTCAGAAAAAAGTACATGGGATTGTGGAGCTGAGAAGAGACTCTGATAAGAATAATTATGCTGAAATTGCCAAATATGATCACCAGATACATGAACAGGATGATGATAAAGAGGATGACTCGAAGGGCTGGATCATCTGTCAAACCCAATAAAATGAACTCTGTCACTGCAGTGTGGTTCTCATTCACCAGGGAATCCATGGGACACTGTATATGTTGCCAAAAGAAACCTGTGATAAAACATTTCATGAGAAACTATATAACTATGAAGACTTCCTTTTCTTTAACATGGGTGTAATGTCATTATAAATATATATTCAAATACTAATATATACTTGCATGCAATGATGACTCTACCTGTAATTTAAAAATTGGTTTTAACAGAAACACCAAAAAAATCCATTAAGGTATTGTACATTTTTCTTCAAAGCCAAAAAATAAAAATACAAGGCACATAAAAACAATAAAAACAAAGGCGGAATTTTGGAAAAGAAGATGCTACATAACATTTTCTAGGGAAGACTTTGATAATAGCTAATATTGATTACACACATCTAAATAATAAGCATACAGTGAGGACACATACACAAATACATATTATTGTCTTTACTACATTTCCATGAAATGATTATTTTCAGTACAATTTTATAGCTGAGTTAACAGATTCTGAAAGACATTATGTAACTTGCACAAGTTTACGTAGCAAGTGGTAAAATCAGAATAGTAACCCCAGGAAGTCTGACTGCCCATCCCCTAAGTAACTACATATTAATTACTTAATTAAGTTAAGTAATAATTACTGTGAAATCTAATACAACCATCAGTGAGTGGGTAACAGGTTCCTTTAAACTTTCTGAGAATTAATGTGTCAGAAAAGTTACCTAGTTTGTTCTGTACTCCACAGTATCAAAATAATGTGAATGCTTTTTAAGAAGAAGAAATGAAATTGGTCTTGGTAGCTAGACAGGAATTTCTAATTAAGATTATAAATGAAGTCACTTACATATTTATATATTTGAAATAGAAAATTTTGTTTTAGCAAATAGTTTGAAATATCAATGAAAAAAGCATGATTATTACTCAGCACATACTTAAGGAAGTTTCATTCAAATAAATCAAGGCACTTCCTACTGAAAAAATGATTTCCAATTGGGACTGTGAAATAATCCCAATTGAGAGAGTGAAATAATGTTATTTTCAACATAATATGTAGCTGCATAAACACAGAGTAAAAGCTTAAGAATAATCAATGAATTAGTCTAGGTTAATCCTCATCACCAAATTTTCTGAGTGTACATAACAAGCTTTATCTAAAGCTTGCCTTGAACCTAACACACTTAGATGGATAAATGAACTGTTTCTGTAAAGATTGTTACATGTTTATATTTTAAAATTTTCAATTTGAATCTTCAAACATAAACAAATGCTCAAAGCTACCATGTAGTCAGGGCTCCAAGATAGTGCTGAAAGACCATATGACTGTGTGTCTTATGGGTAGGTAAATAAAGAGTCCTGGAAACTTGGGTTGTGACTATTTACTCACATGAAACTGATGAACACAGAGTACATCAACCAAAATTGTTCTCTGTCTGATTGTTTGATTATACCTGCCCTGTTTATACAACATGACTTGTGAGTTCTGATCACTTTAGAGAATAAAGTTTTCTTGAATGGTAAATGAAAATCAGGAAGTCAGATGCATTAACAAAACCAAAATCTTACATCTTAAAATAAAACTCATTCATCTTTCCAAAACAAAGTCATAGAGTTCAGATAGCTATGTTTTTAACTTTATTTTTTCTGTTATAGGTAATTCTCCAAAGATCCTGGAGATTTAATTGTTAAGTCAAATAGAATGTCATTAAGTTCTGTAGGGGATATTGAACAATTCAATTAACACAAAAAGAAAACCAATCTTTCAGACTGTCAATTGTAAAATGGTCAGTTTATTCTTTTGTTTCAGTCTTGTTGTTCATGCATAGTTCTATAATTTCTTTAATATTTACTAGAGTATGATATAACCAATTTCCTAAGGTTACTTTGATAGTTAGGCTTAAGAAAGAGTACTAAACTTCAGGTATGAAATGCTAACCTTAACTTTAACCATTTAAAATGTGCTCATTGTTAAGTATTTTATCTTGAAATCTATAACACATACCATTAAGTACCATGGAGAACATGAGGAAGAAGTAATTAAAATTTAATTAACAAAAATATTAAGACGTACATTTTCATATCAGAAGGAAGAAAATTTAAATGTATTGAAAATATTATAAAGTATACATTAAAAAGAGTATTAGATGCCTTCCAGAAAAGAAGTAGTGTCAAAAGAATTGCCTCTGGAGTCGTGAGTTATGGTGTAGGTGGGTCATGATAGAACACCAGAATCTTCAACCCCAAAACATAGTCTAATCCTCATTTCAGAATTTGCTTTCTATACCCTTGTAGCCTCACTTTTGAGGGAGGGCCTTTAAAACAGCCAGGCTGATTAGAAGCAATATTCCTCCACAGCACTCTCTATGCTAACAACAGTGCTAAGCATTTAGCATATATTTAATCCTCATAGCAATTTTATGAGGTAGATGCTTTTATATTCCTGATTTTTCAGAGGAGAGAACTGAGAATGAGGAGTTCAAACAACTTATGTTGCATGATTTCAACCCCCACTGTCCGTTTCCTGCTTCCAGTGCTATCCACTAGAGTCTGCACTTGAATCCTCCACTCCCTTAAAAGTGGATGTCTTCTGGGAAGTTATCAATAATCTGCTCAGTCCATCGGCAGGCACCTATGAGATGTGGAAACAGTTAAGTTCCCTGAAGGCAACCCTAAATAATAGAGGTATACACGTTATTCTCTAAACTTTCAGATCGAATATTCTGAAGGCCATCTCTAAGCTCCTCACATGTCAGAGTAGAATGCAGTTACCCTTGCCCAGCAGTACCTTGATTTTGCTTAAGAAAGACAGACAGCAGAGGGAGAGTGAGAACCTCTTACTTGCAGGATTGGACAAAGAGAATTGAAAATAGAAAATAAATGATTTAATGCAAAGATGTTTTACTTCTAATTCCTTTAAAATACATGACCTTACTATATTAAAAATACAATATCACCTAGCAGTGTGTTTACATAAGTACATATAAGACATATAACAAAATATCACAAAGTAGTTTAAGGAAAATAAATATGTAAGATGAAAGGATCTTTATATTTTGAGTAAATTACCACATTGCTAACTCTATATAAAGTGTAGAATTTTAGGAACATATAATGATGATAGTGATCATTTTTAAAGTAATGCAAAGAGCTGGAGGTTTGTGGCTCAAGTCATAGATACTTGTGCAGCAAGTGCAAGGCCCAGAGTTAATACTCACTACCTCAAAAAAAGTGATGCAAAGACATATAATCTAAATGCAAATGGAAAAATTAGAATAGAGTTCAAATAATTCAAATAATCCTATATAAGGAAAGAAATGAGAAAAGCCAAATCCTAATAAACAACACCAACATCATTCTTAATGGTAAAATATTGAAAACTTCTACTTATGTTTGAGGAAAAGGTGGGAAGGGCAACACTCAATACTACTATTCAACATTATAGTGTTGTCCCTGGTGTTGCAGCAAGGTAATAAAAAGTAATTTAAATAGCCATAAAGATGACACAGGAAGAAGTAAAATACCCCATTTGTACATAGTTGTTCATGCAACAAATTCTGAAAAAAATCTAACTAAGAGATAGCATAGATAAATGGGACCTCATAAAACTAAAAAGCTTCTGTTCATCAAAAGAAATGGTCTATAAACTGAAGAGAACACCCACAGAGTGGGAGAAAATATTTGCCAATTATACATCAGACAAAGGACTGATAACCAGAATATACAGGGAACTTAAAAAACTAAATTCTCCCAAAACTAATGAACCAATAAAGAAATGGGCATGTGAACTAAACAGAACTTTCTCAAAAGAAGAAATTCAAATGGCCAGAAAACACATGAAAAAATGCTCACCATCTCTAGCAATAAAGGAAATGCAAATTAAAACCACACTAAGATTCCACCTCACCCCTGTTAGAATAGCCATGATCAGCAACACCACCAACAACAGGTGTTGGCGAGGATGCGGGGAAAAAGGAACCCTCTTACACTGTTGGTGGGAATGTAGACTAGTACAACCACTCTGGAAAAAAATTTGGAGGCTACTTAAAAAGCTGGACATCGATCTACCATTTGATCCAGCAATACCACTCTTGGGGATATACCCAAAAGACTGTTACTCCAGAGGCACCTGCACATCTATGTTTATTGCGGCACTTTTCACAATAGCCAAGTTATGGAAACAGCCAAGATGCCCCAGCACTGACGAATGGATTAAGAAAATGTGGTATCTATACACAATGGAATTTTATGCAGCCATGAAGAAGAACAAAATGTTATCATTCGCTGCTAAATGGATGGAATTGGAGAACATCATTCTGAGTGAGGTTAGCCTGGCTCAAAAGACCAAAAATCGTATGTTCTCCCTCATATGTGGACATTAGATCAAGGGCAAACACAACAAGGGGATTGGACTATGAGCACATGATAAAAGCGAGAGCACACAAGGGAGGGGTGAGGATAGGTAAGACACCTAAAAAACTAGCTAGCATTTGTTGCCCTTAATGCAGAGAAACTAAAGCAGATACCTTAAAGCAACTGAGGCCAATAGGAAAAGGGGACCAGGAACTAGAGAAAAAGTTAGATCAAAAAGAATTAACCTAGAAGGTAACACCCACGCACAGGAAATCAATGTGAGTCAATGCCCTGTATAGCTATCCTTATCTCAACCAGCAAAACCCCTTGTTCCTTCCTATTATTGCTTATACTCTCTCTACAACAAAATTAGAGATAAGGGCAAAATAGTTTCTGCTGGGTATTGAGAGGGGGGAGCGGGAGGGGGTGGAGTGGGTGGTAAGGGAGGGGGTGGGGGCAGGGGGGAGAAATGAACCAAGCCTTGTATGCACATATGAATAATAAAAGAAAAATGAAAAAAAAATCTACAAAATATACACTATAGATAACTTAGTAAGATATGAGAATAAAAGCATAATATATAGAAAAATAATTTTATCTAATTTGCTAGTAATTATTAAAAAATTATATTTAAGATGTGCCAAAAACCATATTTAGGATTCAATATATTAACACCTATGCAAAGCTTATTTATA